AGATGGTGGTGATCGAGCAAAACGGGTCCTTCCAGCTCAAGAACTTCATCTGCGACCACTGTTTCGGGGCCTTTCGGAGCAGTTACCACCTCAAACGGCACATCCTCATCCACACCGGTGGGGGCACCAATTAACACACCCTAATTAACCCCTCACAGCCTTAATTAGCCCTCTCCTCACCCCCATCCTGATTCCCCCCCAGTTAGGTGTTAATTAACCCCCTGGACGCCCCCCAGTTTAGGGGAGAAGCCCTTTGAGTGTGACCTGTGCTCCCTCCCTCCCCGATCCCAACCACCCCTTAATCCCACAACTTCCCCCCTCCTCCTCCATTCCCACACCCCCTAATTACCCCCAGGGGTGTTAATTACCCCCCCAACTCCCCCTCACTTTAGGGGAGAAGCCCTTTGAATGCGACGTGTGCGACATGCGCTTCATCCAGAAGTACCACCTCGAGCGGCACAAGCGTGTGCACAGTGGGGAGAAGCCCTACCAGTGCGAGCGCTGCATGCAGGTAATTCCATGGGAAATCCCACCTGGAATTCCCTTGGAAACCCCCAGAAGCGCCCCCACCCCGAATTCCAACCCTAATCCCCTCCATCCTGCAGAGTTTCTCCCGCACGGACCGGCTCCTGCGGCACAAGCGGATGTGCCAGGGCTGCCAGGGCAAGAACCCCCCTGACTCCCAGCTCCTGCTGTGAAATTCTGGGAATTCTGGGGGTGCTGGAGGAAGGGGGAGCCTCCCTCCTGCACTCCCCACCCTCTGCATCCTCTGCTTCACCCGGATTTTTCACCCTGAGCTGAGAACTCCTAAAAAAACCTGGAGCGTTCCCAGTGTGAAAAACTCGGATCTTTCCCACCCTTCTGGCCTAAAAACTGGGATAATGAGCCCAAAAATCCTCCTGGAATCTTCAAGCTGTGCCCTCCTCATCGTTGGATCCCTAAATCCACCCCACATTGCCCCATAGGACAGACTGGGAGTCCCCAAACTGCCCTAAATCCCAGCAGGTTTGGGGTACCTAGGACACAGGTAGGAGGGTCCCGCTGGGAATGACATCTCCAAACCTGCTTTTTGGGGAGGAAAAAGGAGGAAAACTGAGGATTTTGGGGGGTGTCTCGGCTTCGGGAGGGTGGCAAATTCCCCCTTTTTATGGAAAACGTAAAAAGGCAGCACTTCCCATTCCCGCTGGAATTCCTGTGGATTCCAGGGACGTTTCCCCTGTTTCCACATGGTTTTGGGGGGGCTCCCTGTGTCTCCCCCTGCACCTGTGGGGGGGGCTGCACCCAGGGGGGCGAAGGGACCCCCATTTCCCAGAAAACCCCATTCCCAGGGGGAGGAAAAT